AAATCGTAAAATAGTTCAACTAGTTAAATATTGGTTAGACAATTCAGTGTCATTTCATTAAAGATAATTTCGTAAAAGTAAAATGTGATATACTTAGAATTAATACAAGTAAAAAGGAACACTAAAACTAATTTTCTCAGTCATCAACAGAAAGACTTTACGGTCTCGATCTAATCTACCGTTTAGACGGTACCTCTATCTCTAGATCTCTAGATCTCCTATCCTCTATTTTTCCTTGAATTATGAGTCTCAAGACGGTAAATCTTTCGCCTTTCAATACATGTCCGAGATATTGCAATTTTCTTTCTTTCATTGTATTTTCCATTTCCCTCTCTCTGCCTATTCTCCTTAACACTTCTGCATTCGTGACTCTATCTACCCATGGAATCCTTAACAATCTTCTAAATGTCCACATTTCAAACGCATTAGGTCGATTTATTGTATTCCGATTTATTGTCCATGATTCAGCTCCATAGTAGAGTACACTGTGTACATAGCATTTAATTAGCCTTATTCTGAGGGCCAATGTCAGATCTTTGCTGCATAAAATCTTTTTCATTTTCACGAAGTTGGCACGTGCTTTTTCAATTCTGACTTATCTCTGCAGTATAATCGTTATTTTCTGTGATTATCTTTCCCAAGTAAGTATATTCTTTTACTCTCTCAATCTGCTGGCCGCCTACCGTTAATATTTCATTTGTATTGTTGTTTTTGCTAATTTTCAAAAATTTGGCATTTTTTGATGTTTTTTTAATGTTACACAGATTATTGTGAGTCAAAAATCAAAAAGATGTTATCTATTCCTACTGTTACAAATACTTTTACAATAAGAAAAATATCTCTCTTTAAACCACAGAAGGACTTATGCTAAATTTGTAATGGATATATGTTGGTTCATATTGGAAAAGAAATTAATGAAGAGCACAGAAGTTAAAAAATTCTAGCAAGAGAAGGAATCTGATAAAGAAAAGAAAGAATGTCTTTAATTCCGATCTTCAAATTGTACTTTTGGCACCACGCTCCAGCTTATCATCTAATTATTATAAGACCAAACTCTGCGTTCACAACAGTCGACAGTATGTACGCAATGATAGAGAAAAAACTTAAAAATCAAATAATTAATGTTCCAGCTAAGTACATTACCCTTTGCAGAAAAGGGAAGAAATCAAAAACCTTGCACAGTTGAATACTTAAACTACTCTTAATTAAGGAATTTTAAAAAGCTAAATTCTTAAAACTCCATAAGACCAGGAAAATTGAAGGGCGATCATAAGGTATTGGTATTTAGTAAATAGTAATCATTATTTTCGACTATATTGGATCGGTGTTTTTTATCTTTATTTTTCAGGTTACCGAAATTCGAGCTCTTATGTATACGCCCTCTGGAGAAATATTTTATAAGCTTAGATTTTCTGAGGACTATAAATTACTCAACCAACGAAAAAATTCTAGAAGAAATACAATACTAAATGAAATGAGGTTGAATGCTCGAATAAATGAACTTTGAAAATAAGGCTATTATCGAGCACAAGTTAATTAAATCTAGCCCAAGTACTTTCGCTTAAAATAGCATCTTCAGGGGCATTTCGTCAAAAATTTCGTTGACGAAATGCCCCTGAAGATGCTATTTTAAGCGAAAGTACTTGGGCTAGATTTAATTAACTTGTGCTCGATAATAGCCTTATTTTCAAAGTTCAAATACAATACTGTTTCCTCCTCCTTCTAAGTCCTAATCCCTTTTGGGATGTGGTGACACCATCAGGCCTTCACAGTTTTTTTAGGATTTCCCTCCATCCTTCTCTGTCCTGGGCTAGTTGTTCGGCTTCATGTAACCCTTGGTTAATCAATGTTTTTGTTTGATCTACCCAACGGCTTGGAGATCTTCCCCTAGGTCTTTTTCCTTCAACTCTACCCTCGACTATCAGTTTTTCCATCGTGCCTGTTCTTCTAGCAATGTGTCCAAAATACTGCAAATATCTCTGTTGTATTTGTTTAAGCAATCTATCCTTTACTTTAAGTTGTTCTAGTATCGATACGTTAGTGCGATGATCAATCCAGGATATTCTCAACATGCGGCGGTATACCCACATTTCAAAAGCGTCCAGTTTATTTTTATCCGCTTTCTTTAAGGTCCACGTTTCGGATGCATATGTGGCTATGGGAAAAATAAGCGCCCTTACCAGCCTTAGTTTTGTCTGTATTGTTATGCTAGGATTATTCCAAATTGCTATCAGTTTCATCATAACTGTTCTAGCAATAGTCAACCTTCTACGTATTTCTCTGTCACACCCTCCGTCATTTGTTATTAGGGACCACAGGTATATGAAAGTCTTTACTACTTCAAAGCCCCCAATTTCTTTAAAGTGTTGAAGATTATTCCGAGCGCTGTCTACTATCATGATCTTTGTCTTACTCGTATTTAGCTTTAGTCCATATGTTTTGCTTTTTTCCTCCAAACATCTCATTATGGGATTTTTTCACTTTTCTTCTGGGTTGTACTGTGTCTTCAACATACTAGTTTCCTTTAATGCATCTCTACATGTTTTCGGATTTGAAATCTCTAGCCTGTTTTGCTTTTGTTGCGGCATTGTTCTTTTTAGCTTCTATCACAACGGCTATCAAACGGGCTATCACAATTACATTACAAAACGTTTTCGGATTGTTAAATCCATCATTAGTGTAAACGAGGTATACATGCTATGAGCCACCAAAATATATGGGTCAAAACCCTTTAAATGTTATAAATTTACAGTTGTTTTACATTATATATGGTTACAGATTAGGATGTTTAAGTTACCGTTGGAATTGGTAACATGGCGACGTATGACCCTACATAGGTAAAACGGTAATGAGACGAAGTGTCTTCGAGGACCTGTTGATAACAACAGTTATTATCAACAGGTCCTCGAAGACACTTCGTCTCAGGACCATTTTACCTATGTAGGGTCATACGTCGCCATGTTACCAATTCCAACGGTAACTTAAACATCCTAATCTGTAACCATATATAATGTAAAACAACTGTAAATTTATAACATTTAAAGGGTTTTGACCCATATATTTTGGTGGCTCATAGCATGTATACCTCGTTTACACTGATGATGGATTTAACAATCCGAAAACGTTTTGTAATGTAATTGTGATAGCCCGTTTGGGCATTTTATTATATACCTTTTATAATGAATTTGAAATAAATTTTTGTTTCAATATTTGTCAAATTTGTACCCTGAACGACAAAAACTTACAATAAAGAAATACTTGGATTTACAGCAACTAAAGAACTTGATGCCGAAATATTACCATAAGTATTATGACCGCCATTCTTATGAAGACTAGAAATACGTTTTAAATCATAATTATAAGTATAACTCCGTTTGTTTTGTTGTTAATTAAACCTATTTTATAATCACCAATAGATTTTTATTTGAATTACCTAATCTCTGGTTCATACCAGCTAATTTCAACAGTACGTTTTTTTCCTGTAAAAGAAAATTGGATAACTGCTTAAAATATCCCAGTGTTCTAAGGATCATTGTATAAACGATTATGTGAAATATTAGTTAATGATATTATCTAGCAACTGGATAGTAATTTTTGTCGTTAATAACTTTATAAAAAATATTACGTTTTATGCCCCTCCTGAAAAATTTGTTCAAATGGAGTTGGCCGGTTTGCGACCAATTAAGGTATCGATATGACACAACTGAATTCAATTATTATGACTTTATCAACCTTAAAAAGTTGTCTATTAAAATCGTTAACAAAAATAAATGCATCAATGAAGATGGAAACAAAGTTACTTTGATGAAAATAATATGTTTAAAGTATGAGAAGTCACTTCCAAACGTAATTCAATATAAAGACGATTATTTAAACAATTATTTTCGACACAATGTTAGTCCATAACTGATAGGACGACGTGTGAAACCACAGTTTTGTAAAACAGAAGATCTGTCAAAGCTGTAGACAGATTTAACCACTTAACACTTACAATGGTATCAGTCTCTGCCAGCAATGGATAAGAATGATATCCATTTGCTACCCATATCAGATAAACTTGATGATTGTTAATAGTAATATTAAGTTTTAAAAAATTTTGTAATTCAAACTAATATTATTGTATATAAAAAAAATATATGTATCTGGTTAAATGGATTCTTTTTATTTCATCCAAAAACTTAATTTTTGGAGATCTTTTTGTACAATTTTGATGATACATTGATCAACAATTATTTATGCCCACGTAGAATTAACACTTTTTTATATTACATTTCATATTTTCACTATTTTTATTGTTTTTATCACCATCTTCCGACAAACAATCATCATCGTGCGACATGAGTGTCACGCAATTATTTTTTTTTAATTCCTGCTTTTTAATTTATATACCTATTTATATCTGACAATAAAACACCTATTACTATCATAAGATCATATCACTATTAAAATTAATTAAAAATATATTGCTGAAAGTGTTTTAAAATACCATTAAAACAGCGCTTTGTTTTATAACGCTATAGTATTTTACCGTAATATTAGCAATAAAAAATATTCTCAAGAGACGACGAATTAATTTGTTTCCTCGCAGAAAAACAGAGGTAGAATTAATCATAATTCATTTCTTAAAAACGCCGTGAAAAAGAAGGATTATATTCAACTTAATTATTTCCTTCTGTTGAAAACAAAAGCGGCGTAATAAAAGAAGCAAATCCCCAGACATCCCCTTCTTAAACCCCGATAGAAAAAACTGCAACCGCCCAAACAAACGCCCTGCACCGAAAATAATTCATTTACACTAAGAATGCAATAATAAAAGAGGGTCGAAGTAAAAATCAGTACGTTCATGCGGCTCTTAGCGATCCCCACTGCGCAACACCCGTAAGAAGAGAGACCAACGAGGCCGAAGCGAAGAGAAGAAACCCTCAGTCTACGTCCAACATATCGCGAGTACGTATCGTAGTTGGCTCTGATAGAAGCGCGCGTCTCCGTTCGATGCCAGTATGCCGCCGCAGCAGATCATAGTGCCGTGGCTCTGCTTTCTTTTGATGACTGTGTTAGTGCCGGAGGTGAGTGCTATGGGGGGTCTGTGCCCCGTTGCGTGCACGTGCAAGTGGAAAGGTGGTAAACAAACTGTAGAGTGCATGGAAAGAGGACTTATTACGATTCCTGACAGTATAGACCCCGAAACGCAAGTGCTCGATTTGTCCGGAAATAATCTGCAAATCCTCCATCGCGAAACGTTCAACAGGACTGGATTAATTAATCTTCAAAGAGTGTTTTTGAGAAGCTGTCGTATCGGCCAAATTGACAATTTAGCCTTCAGGGGATTAACGAATCTAATTGAACTTGATTTGTCACATAATCTTCTTACTGGCATACCGACAGGAACTTTCAAAGATATTCCGTTTCTGAGAGATTTAATTATATCTAATAATCCTATCCAAAAAATCGAATCGCAAGCTTTTCAAGCAGTTCATGGATTAGTTAAATTAGATTTGTCCAACTGTGAAATCCAAAATGTAGCCCCCAAAGCTTTCGAGGGAATTGAAATGCTGGAATCCCTTAAATTGAACGGCAATCGACTTTCCGAACTTCGCCTACGTACGGTCGAAACCCTTACCAGACTTCATGGGGTTGAGCTCCATGACAACCCCTGGCATTGCGACTGTCGCTTACGATCCGTCAAAGAGTGGTTAGTCAGAAATAACATTCCTTATCCTGAAAATCCAGTGTGCAGTGGTGGACCTGAAAGAGTTATACATAAGACATTCGGTGAACTTCATATCGATGATTTTGCTTGCAAACCAGAAATACTTCCTGTGAGTAGATACATCGAAGCAGTGTCCGGTGAAAACGCCACTATTACTTGCCGTGCCAACGCAGTACCTTCAGCTCACGTCAAATGGTACTGGAACGGTAAACAGCTAATCAATAATTCCATTTTCACACCACATCAAATGATACATATCTACGAAGAAGGCAAGCAAGAAAAAAGAAGCAATTTAGTCATAACCAACATTCAAGAAGGCGATCCTAGTGAGTTTTATTGTGTTGCTGAAAATCGCGCTGGTAGTTCCGAGGCTAACTTCACTTTAAGAGTGTCTCTTCGTCCTTTGGGAATAACTTCTCTTGGTAACGGCCAAATTGCAGGCCTTAGTGCTGCTTTAGTGTTCCTAATTCTTTTCATATTGATCGTCATATCTATTTTACTGCTCAGACTCAGAAGACTGCCTTTCACTGAGAGCAAAACCCCAGGCCAGATAGAGGTAGTTACAGTAGTTAACAATGGTCATATTCCAAATGGAAAAGCTGTTTCTCCAGTCAATACCCGGAAGAAACTTCTTCTTTTTCCGAACGTAAACCACCAGGGGAGTTAAATTTTTGTAATCCTGTCCAGAAACCACCTCGATTGAATGATATTCCGTATTCTACTGTGCATTATAGTGGAAATGGTAGTGTTGTTACTGGTTCTTGTTTCGTGTCTCCATCTTCAACATCCGGTAACAATCCTGACTTAATAAATGATACTAAAGGTGGAGAAATAGTACCAACGGCTGTAGAGAATTTTGATCGACCTCTCAGTGGAGAATACAGTCGAAATCCAGACTCATTATATCCTTCTGGATTGTGGGACAGTGAACACGGTCCTTCCAACACCAGCTTCCAGTATAACGACAAGACGCCCATAATGCACGATGGAACCAGCACCGGTGGTTCTATCGAAGAACTGACGTTTCGTTTAGCTCAAGGTACTAACCGTCTAGCGGCCTACCCATCGGATTACGGTCTTCCAATAGCAGAAACCAAAACTGAAAACATATCGATACCTGCGTCTCAAGTGAACCTACCAGTAAACGCAAAGACTTTAAGAGTGTGGCAAAAAGGTGCTGTACCAGTATTACCTCCAGTTACAGCTTTGAAAAGAGTGCTCACCAGCAATAGGAACTCACCCGACGAAGGCTACCAAGAAGGTTGCGGTACCGATGTTTAAACTTCTCGCAGTCGTTCCTATGTGTGGATTGTATTATCGAAGTTGCTCAACGTGGCAACTGAACAAGTGCTGTGAACGGAAAATCTTGTAAATATTTATTTCCCTGTGTGATACTTGGCTCATAGTCAAGATATTTGTGAATATTGTGAATATTTGTAGTTTTAAAGTTAATGTTGACGAATATTGGAGTATACATGGTCAAAAGACTGATTTAGATAGATTTTTTTATAACTGAATATGTTTCTCGATATTCTTGGTTTTTGGGGTACGTATTCTAATATTAGGAAACTGTACTTCTGAGTATTACGGACTTATATAATCAATACCTATGTCAAAGAGATTGTATGAATGTTATATCTGGTCATAGATAATATAGGTTTTTATTGTTACTTTTTTTTTCTTTTATTTTCCCTTAGCAAAAATTTAAAGTACAAAAATATTTTTTTAAATTTCTTCAACAAAACTATTTGATATGTTATCGATATTTTTAAAATATTTGATGTCTTTATAAATATTGAAATAATTTGGAGAAAATGACTAAATATAGACTATAATAAAAACATTTTTTGGTTTTCATTTTCAAACATAATATTTTAAAAGATAATTTTAGGAAATTGTTTCTTAAATATAATTAATCAATTTATTAATAATTAACAGGAAGTACATATTTTTGGATAATAAATATGTTTCTTATTAGCATTATTTAAACTAGTTTATTTTTTTATATCTGTCTTTAATATTGTTTTTTTCAAATTCGTCTTTGACTGACTTTACATCTAAATTTTCTTCGTTTTTTTGTTCAAACTTAACTTTTATTCTACATGCTGTTCTTCGTTATTGATTTTATTGTTTATTATTTCATTAATGGTTTTTTTATATTTTTCTGTTGTAACAAAATCAAATTGTACTGTTGAAATATAAATTGATGTAATCTCTTTAACTCTCCTATGTCTTTCTGCTCTATATGTATATATGTTGTTCCACTTTTCATTCTTCTTTTGTTTAGTACTTCTCATCCTCTTGCTTTTAATTCAATTTTGTTGATAGTTTTTCCTCAATAAAGATATTACATTGCTTATATGCTTATATAGTTATTTATATATGCTTCTCTTTTATCCGTCTTATGTGAATATTCTAACTCATTTATTCATTTTTCTTGTTCAATTTTTTTGTACAGTCAATATAAATGATACTACTCTATTATCCTTCCTTTATTAATATTCTAGCTCATTCTTCTGGAATGAAATTGTTTTTCCATATGAAATTGTTAGTTTTTCTGAAATGATACTAGCGCTCTTTCATGCATTTCAATGGAATCTTCCTCATCTATGCTTCTCTTTTAATTTTTGGTTTGTGTCATATTCTAACTAACTTATCTCTCTTGCTTTTTATTCAATTTTTTTTTGTTAGTTTTTTCATTTTATATTCTTACATTGACGTTAAATCAATTTAAATGATGCTTCCCTTTTACCCTTCTTTATTTAATATTCTAGTTCATTTTTCTTTTTGGTCTGTATATGTTTTTTCTTTCCTTTAGTACTTATTCTAACTATCTTTTTAATTATTTTTTTTTGTTAGTTTTTCCCCCTAAATTATTCCATTTACGTTAAGTCCTTATAAATAATCCTTTGTCCCCTTCAGGCATTATAACTGTATATTTCTCACCTAAGCTTCTCTTTTATTTCTCTTTTGTGTAATATTCTAACTCAGCCTTCTTGCTTTTTATTTAACTTCTTCTTGATTTTTTTATTTTAAATTGTTTATTTGATCGACGATAAATCAATATAAATGATGCCTTAGCTCCTCCAGGCATTTCAATTAAATCTTCTTCAACTATTTTTTGCTTTATTCTTCTCTTCTTCAATGTTAATGATGCTACTGCTCCTTCAGGCATTTCATTGTAATCTTCCTCATCTACGTTTTTTTATTGTTATTTTCTGTGAAATTCTGGCGCATCTTTCTTGCTTTTTATTTAACTTTCCTGTTAATTTTTTCATTTTGAAATTCTACATTGAGTTTAAATCAATATAAATGATGCTTCAGATTCTTCATGCGTTTTAATTGGATCTTCCTTATTCATGCTTATCGGGTTTCTTTTGTTTAACATTCCAGCTTTCTGCTTGTTATTCATGTGTGTTATTAAATTTTCGATCTGAAATTGTTAGTTTTTCGGGAATAATGCTACAGCTCCTTCAGGCATTTAAATGTAATCTTCCTCATCTATACTTTTTTTACTCTCATGTTGTTTGATACTTTAGCTCATCTTTCTTGCTTTTTATTTAACCTTCTTGTTGATTTTTTATTTTAAATTGTTACGTTGACTTTCAATCAATATAAATGATGCTTCAGCTTCTTCATACACTTCAATTAATCTTCCTCATCTATGCTTTTCTGTTATTTCTCTTTTGTGTAATATTCTGACTCGTCTTTCTTGCTTTTTATTCATTTTTATTGTTAGTTATTTCATTTTAAATTGTTACATTGACGTTAAATCAATATGAATGATACCTTGGCTCCTTCAGACACTTCATTTAAATCTTCTATATCTGTTTTCCCTTTATTTTTCTCTTTTTAATATTCTAGCTAATTTTTCTTACTTTTTATTTAAGTTTAATGTTGGTTTTCGTTCAAACATTTCATTGTAATCTTCTTCATCTATGCTTCTCTTTTATTCTTCTTTTGTTTAATATTCTAGCTCATTTTTTGCTTGTTACTTCATGTTTGTTGTTAGATTTCCCATCTGAAATTTTTAGTTTTTCCGAAATAGTGCTACAGCTCCTTCAGGCAATTCAATGTAATCTTCCTCATCTCTTCTTTTTTTTATTAATCTTATTTTTTTTATAATGTAGCTCATATTTCTTGCTTTTTGTTTAACTTTCTTGTTGAATTTTTTCATTATAAATTGTAACATTAACTTTAAATCACTATAAATGATGCTTCAGCTTCTTTATGCATTTCAATTGAATCTTCCTAATCTATGCTTCTCTTTTTATCTTCTTTTGTTTAATATTTTAGTTCACTTTTTTGCTTTTCATCTCAATTTTGTTAGTTTAGTTTTCTCTCGCTAAGTTGTGATATTCAATCAATAAAATATTGCTTTAGTTCTTTCAAGCATTTCAATTGGATCTTCCTTATCTATGTTTCTCAATTTTTTTTCGTTCTAACATTCTAGCTAATTTGTTCTTGCTTTTTATTTTTTTTGTTATTCGTTTTTCTATTTAAAATTATTAGATACTTAGACGTTAAATCAATATACCTAATTGATGCTGCAGCTCCTAGGGTATTTCTCTTCTCCTTCAGCTCCTTTATTTGTTTAATATTTCAGCTCATCTTTGTTGCTTTTTATTTGATTTATTTTTCCTGTTTTAATTTTATGTTTTTAGATTGACGCTAAATTAATGTACATGATGCTTTAGCTCGTTCAGAAATTTCAATTGGATCTTCCTGATCTATGCTCTCTTATCCTTCTTTTGCTTAATATTATAGCTGATTTTTCTTGATTGATGTTAAATTTGTTAGTGTAGCAATTGTTAGATTACTTTAAATCACCGGTATAATGTTTTTGCTCCTTGCGATTTCAATACTGTCTCAAGTGCTCCATTTTTGAAATTCATATCTTTGTTCTAGCAATACTTTCTTCTTTATTCTAGCAAGTCTTTTATTTGATATTTTTTGTCTTCCATTTTACCTAATCTCTTTGTCATTTATTTAATTTTAAGTTTTTGATACCAGTTCAATCCATTTTATATTTCAGCTTCTGCGTGCAGTTTGTTTAAACATTCCTCATCGAGCTCTTTGTAAAAGCTTAGTCTTTATCTTTAGATTTGTTGTATTATATTATAGTTTTATATATGTATATCAATTTTCTTAAGTTTGTGTTTCAGATACCTCTGTTCAGAAATTTGTTACTATTTTCTGATATTAAAAAAAGTTATGATTTATCTTCGCTCTTTGTTAATCTTCGATTTTGAACTTGTACCTGTTTATGAAACCATCTTTTCCATCATCCATTTTTTATTTGTCAATCGATAATAATCTTTCAAACCATATGTTTGTTTAGTCTTATATCTGCTAAACCTTAATTTTTTTAAATATTTCTGCTCATGTTCTTCCTATTTATTTAATTTCATCTTTAATTGTTCCATTTCAAATTGCTAGATTGTTGATAAGTCAATATCAATAATGAAGCTTTATTTACTTAAATCACTTGATTTGTATCTTCCTTATCTACGTCCGTTGGAATGGTCCAGTCACGTACTTGTTTTAACAATTTCAATTCTGGTTTTTAAGTTGTTCTGATATTTTGGAAGCTAATAATAATTTAGTAATTAATATTTGGTTTCTTGATAAAGATAAGAAAGTTGGTATTATCCAATTTGATATTCAAGCTATAATGTAAAATTGTCGTAAAAGCTTTTTGGACTATTCTTTGCAAATCTTCAATATTCTCTGCCGTGAATAGGGATTTCGTTTACTACAACGTCAGTTGTTCCCTTGAGCAGTGCCTCTTGTATAATAGCTTTCGAGTATAATAGTATCAAAGATAATATAATAGTACTGGATAAAGAATGCAACCTTTTAATCATTTTTATACCTTATTGGTCTATTTGCTCTTGTTTTAAAATATTCCTTAATCTGCCAAAAGACTTTTCATATTCTATAAATCAGGCATACACATCTTTATTCACGTTCAAACAGTACTGCGTTAATACGTTTGAGCATAAGCATTTCTAGTTCTCACTAGAGAGTGTTGTGTTGCTTCGGCCATGAAGTTTCATTTGAAATTGTTTGTCTTTTATTTTTTTTATATCCCTATGTCGTTTAATTTTCATTTTGTGATCCTAGCTTACTCATGTTCATGACTAAGCTAGTGTAGTCAGTTTATTAGGGTATAATACATCTAAATTTTTTTAATTAGATTAATATTATTATATTCTTTTAAATATTTTTTTTTAGTTCTCTGTAATATTTTTTTCCATTTTCTGATCCCAAAAAAGTTA